GTGGTTGCTGCCTTTTGGAAAGTGGAGAATTATATTTTTAATGACCCCTGAAAAATGTGACATATTTATAGAATATTATTGTTAGCCTCTGTTGTTTCCTAACTTATCAAAAAACAACGGCATCCAAAGCAGGTGTGCAACAAAAATAATAAAAAAACGAATAGAAAAGTTACGAAATTTTCACTTCAGTACCTCAGAAGGCCTGTTTTCTGAAATAATAAACCTTGTTTTTGATATTTTGCAAGCTCAAATTCCGCAAAGTTATTTACTTGAGAACTATGGAATATTTTTTAACGATTTTGCATTCAAAGTTGAAAATTGTATTTATTTTATCTAATACCCAGTCTTAAACTCAATTGCAATTACAGGAGAAAAAACAAAAAGAGGCCCTTACCAGGAAACAAGAGAAAAATAGGAGCAAAATTCAAAAACAAGAAGAAGAAACTGCTCCTACTGAATTGCTGCAAAGACCTAAAGATTATTTGGTTAAATTCAGATTCCCAGAACCACCACCTCTACCACCACCAGTTTTAGGATTACACAGTAAGTATTTAAATCAATAGCAATAAAAGTTCCATTCCAAATATCTCAGAAACCCATAAAATCGCTTTATGTGTTCCTAACCCTTCGTCAGTCCTAATGCAAAACCACGAATATGTAGATTCCTCATTTTGAAAAAACAAGGTCTGAAGTTTCTTTTGGCATACTTACTTTGTATACATACTTTATTTTTCACATTCGTGGTTTTGTTATAGGAAACTTAACACACTAAATCTACCCATGCACATAAATTATCTTTCACCACCGACCAACATGTCAGTCAATTCGAGTGAGTGAACAAAGCACCCACGTCGAACCGCCTGGCTATCGACCGACCAACATAATAGAAAAATTGACATCTGTTGAAGAAGTAAAGAAATAAATAATCAAAAAGAAATAACTGCCAATATATTAGAATTTTTTTGTCCATTTCTGAAGAAACTTTTGTTTCACTCATAGCAGACTCACCATAGGCCTTTATTGAAATTTCATTTCATACAAATTCTTTGTATCAACATAAGTGACACGTCCAATATAAGTGTCAACGAATACAGCTGAAAATTTTCATTGCCACAGACAAATTTAACAATGAACACAGCTGAACATTTTTATCATACTTCAAGAGCATGTTTGAAAAAAAATCTGTTTTTCCGTAAACCAGCTGTCGCACCCTACGAACGACAACCCTCAGAAGTCGAAACTTGTGCGAGCTAAGGATTAACAAGGTCTTGCCTTTTAACGTGTGATTCCAAACACGGGTTGGACGATAGCAAGTGAAAATCGATCGTTCAGACTAGGGCTTAAACCACCGACCAATATGTCAGTCAATTCGAGTTAGTGAACAAGGCACCCACGTCGAACCGCGTGGCTATCGACCGACCAACATAATAGAAAAATTGACATCTGTCGAAGAAGTAAAGAAATAAATAATCAAAAAGAAATAACTGCCAATATATTAGAATTTTTTTGTCCATTTCTGAAGACGGAGGCAGATTTTGGCCTCCGAAACGTTAAGATTGTAGAAGGTAATCAATACCCAGAAAAAGGTCGGTAAAAAACAGAAAAAATTGACAATTGGACTTTCCAAACCCTTGAAACTGAATAAAATTTCTAGAACTTCATATTATTAAAAATCTCAGTTTTAATGAACATATTGAAAAATGTGATCCTTTTTGCGGAGTTGCACAAGCAATGCAGGAAAATTCTTGATACGCTGTAATAGTGGCGTGTGAAAGTGGTAGTCTTTATACATAAATTTAAGTGAAATTGTTAATGCTTTCTTCCAGATGTCACCTTTGGCTATCCAGGACAAAAACCTTTACTAGTTAAAACAGACTTTGGTATTGATATGAATAGCAGAGTTGCCATAGTGGGTCCGAACGGTGTAGGAAAATCAACTTTTTTGAAATTATTGACTGGAGACCTTAGTCCTATCAGTGGAGAAAATAGAAAAAATCACAGATTGGTAAGTATAAGTTATTATTCTTTTGCGTGTAAGTAAGTAAAATAAATCCTTTCAGCGAATCGGTCGATTTGACCAACACTCTGGTGAACACTTGACAGCTGAAGAAACCCCTTCGGAGTATCTGATGCGTTTATTCGATTTGCCGTATGAAAAAGCTAGGAAGCAGCTTGGAACTTTTGGCCTGGCTAGTCACGCACACACTATTAAAATGAAGGACCTATCTGGTGGTCAAAAGGCAAGAGTGGCCTTAGCTGAATTGTGTCTCAATGCTCCGGATGTGCTCATTCTGGTGAGAAAATGCCTGTAAAGGGTGTGGTTTATGCTACTCGGTAATGAAATCTTTGAGTAAATATGTCTGTTGCTTGAAAGATGTCTGAAATAATTTTTGGAGTAAGACTGTTGATAAAAGTCATAAACCCAGATCAGTGAACAAGAAAGAATATAGATAATTATAACAATAAGAGTTCATTGAAATATGTTTTAATGTTTTGAGTAGTATTTTGCAGAACATCTGCTGCAAAGCTTGCAACTTTTTTTCACGAACAGGAATATGTTGAAACGATTCTTCGGGTTTGTTATGTGTGGTGTATTGTCATCCTCTGTGGGAATGAATTTTGCAACGTTTTGACAAAATCACANTGATATGTATTTTGGAAGTGTTATCATTATACATATTAGATCTTCGGAAAGTTTGGAAAGTTACCATCTTTCATAGATTCATTTATGGAAAAACTCAATACAGGTGTAATTTCATATGCCATTTTGCTGGCGGCTTTATTATTTTTCAGTCTCTGTTCGATGATTTCCTCACTATTTTCCATTTCTTAAAATACTTGAAGAAATTATTAGCATTGATTTTTTGTTATCAGTTATGTCTCTATTAGCAAAATTGAATAGAATTTCATACATCCTTGAAAATTCAGCAAATGCATTACATACAGTTACAGAATTATGTCAGACTGGTAAAGAAACATATACAAAGAAAGTCATTACATGCTTAAAGATGCCACAAGTTTTTTTTTGTCGAGTTTAGTGAGTCCTCATCTCGTAAACAGTAGATACAAGACGGGTCTCATTGAAAAAAAAATTGAGGTTTTCTGAAATATGATGTCTGTCATCCACTGGCTGTCAGACTATCCTGCAAAAAATAGTTTCGTACATTGAAAATTCATCAAACACCTTGTAAGAATTCACACACTAAAACCTTTCATATTTTCAGGATGAACCTACGAATAACTTGGATATCGAATCTATAGATGCACTGGCAGAAGCAATCAATGAATATACAGGAGGTGTTATAATTGTATCTCACGACGAACGTTTAATTAGGTAAGTTTTCATTATGGTTGGAAAATACTTGCCGGGCAATTTCTTTCTGGAGATACAGGATAAAATGAAAAACAATTCCATTTCTGAAATCTGTGTGAATCTGGTTTAAACATATTCTGCTTTAGCATATTGTCCTTGCCCGGATTTTTTTCTATCCAAGCAAAGTAACCTGGGCAATTGAAACCAACTTGAAAGGAAACCGCATTAAAATACTATTTCAAGAAAACAAATACAACAACAAACTCATATGTTAAAATAACAAATAATTAGTAATTATTAAACTTAACTAGCATTGAAGTGTTATTTAAAATATCATTGATTTTCATTAAGCACTACCAATTCCTTCACATCAATCAGATGTTATTTTTTTTCAAAAATTGTATCAAAATAATGAACTTAATCAGTTTCACCCCACAAAACAGTCATGCAATGTACATCTCTTTAGAAAATTATTTGAAATTTTCCTTGGATTTTCAGTATGATCACCCTTTAATGGTTCTTCAATACTCCCACACATTTATCACTAGAAAATATGGCTGTAGTTGTAGGTTTTTATGTATTTGAAAATCTATAGTTATTTTTTTTTTCAATTGGACTGAAGCCATTGGATATCCTGAATGAAATGAATAAATGATTAATTGAAAAACACAGTCAAGTTCCATTGAATTTCAACAAAATAATTTTTTACAAAAATATGGGCTAGATTTCTCATAAAATAAAAATTTTCAGTAACACTGGGAATATAATTTTTTTTATATGAAACAACGTCTATTGGAACTTTGAAGTATTGATGTTCACAAAATATATAATTCCTGTTCAAGATGTTTGAAAATATCAAGATCAACAACAGTGAAAGAGATTTCATCATCAATGATACAGTAGTTTGCAAAATATTTTCTGATTGATTCGGCCGTTACTTGATGAAGATCCATAGTAATTTCACAAACTACACTTAAACGATTTGATCTCCACTAACTTTATTGAAAATAATCATAACATGTTTCGCTAAAACATTAGCTTTTTCAAATGATTAATACATCCAAGCATCCTTACATTCATATTTATATACTACAGGTAACCACAATCGAGACTACCTGTAAGAAATTACCTGAATCTCTACATCACATACCTGCTCGATTATGCTTACCTAAAGCAAATTGCCTACCATCTACATCAATAATAATTCTTTATGGGTTTTTAAGAAAACAAGTTCAATAATGGTGATCTATTCAAATCTAATTGGTCATTCATTAGAATATTTGAATTTTTAAGTTTATTAATTTCCATTGCTTCTAAATGNAAATACGTTTGTCAAATACTTTCAATATTTTGAATGGCATTCTTGTAAATTGAAGACCAAAACAGGTTGCATATTAGATAAGATCTGAGCTAGATGTGATATAATAAAACTCTGCTCCCAAACACCAGAACTGCAACACTTTTCTCGACTCGCGTATCATTAACCAAGTTGGCGTCTTCAGGAGACGTCAAAGAAGGGGTTGTAGTTATGTTGTTTGGGGTCAGTGCTTGTGTACTGCACAGTTATGAACGGTGATCTGTTTGCTCTGCAGGATCTCACTAGCTGGTCCATGGTAAGAGGTAGTTCATGATTATTGTAAGGAAAGTGCACTGATTCATTAACGATTTCCCCATGTCCTTCCTCAGCAGCCTTCTTCATGGTACAAAGGTTATTCAAAGGTGTATGTTTAACCTCTTTTCTCAAAATGTATGTTCTTGAGGTCTCAGGCTCTTTTCTAAATAAACTCCATCCGGATCTCTCCCAATGCCATGATCTTTATCTTGTAGACCCAGGGTTCTTATATGAGAGCAATATCAAACTTTCCCATAACCTTTGTCTTATTGCGAATCAGGGTAGAGAAAACTCATAAATGCCAACAATGAATAAACTTTGTTCTTTAAGGAACTTTTTATCAACGCCATCTACATATCAGTAGAATTGGTAATCATTGCGAAAAAATATAATATTGTTGATACTATCTGGCGATGCGCCTTCACGGTTGTGAATTAAAATAAAGAGTTATAGAAACCCTGGTGTTTAGATCCATTCCGATTTGTTTTGTCAAAACATCTCGACGCCAGAAATGAGATTGACCCAACTTTATACACATGTTGATAGATGATGCAAGAATTGAAATCTGACTTACGTATTTTGTTGAGATCTTTAATTTATGTCCCATAATGTAAAAAAAATTGTCTAAGTCTTTAACAAAGTGTAAACTACATTGAGAGTTGAGTTACTTGTGTTTTGCTCAGCACCTCTGTGAATGAAATGCTGAAATTTGTTGGATCTCTTTATTATTTCTTTATAAAAAATGCCCTAGTAGTCTAAGATCCGAACCTAAATCGACCTTCACCGAGCTTCTAATAGAATAATTAAAAATAGTCTGTCCAGAATTTTTTTAGTGAACCTATTTTCTAATATACTAAATTCATTATAAAATACATTTCATTCTATTATCAGCTCGGTGAAGGTCGATTTAGGTTCGGATCTTCTACTATAGGTTGAAAGTTTTTAACAAAATATTCTACATGCGGAAAGGTTCCAAGTGATTACATCAGGGATATTCTATGGATCTCAATTAGAATAAATGATGAGTGGAATATATAAAGTAGTACTTTCTTTCGTATAGCATAAGCTGCTGGCATTTCCATTATTCATCATAGCAAAAAAGTATTTTTTTCTTATATAATGGAATTGGCCGATACTTGATGAAAACCCATAACATACATATTCAGAAATAAGTGTTTTGCTATACAATGGCTTCTTCGGGTGTGTCTTTCTGTTTTTGTAATTCATTTCAGTTTCTGAAACTCCAGTCCTAATTTATTTTAATAAAGATATGTAATTCTCAAAGAAAACGATTTTGTTTTGTTTCTAGTTTATAACGATTCACTATTTTATAATAATCTGAAATTTAATTCACATTTTGAATTTTGAAGTGGGGTCTAAAAATGAAAAAATCGAATGAAGTATTTATACTTTATTTCATAATTAATCAAACATACACTACATAATAAGTTAATAAAATATAATTCACATTTTGAATTTTGAAGTGGGGTCTAAAAATGAAAAAATCAAATGAAGTATTTATACTTTATTTCATAATTAATCAAACATACACTACATAATAAGTTAATAAAATATTACAACATAATTAAAGAGAATAAAAATAAGTTAAAATCTATCGCACAATATCAGAATACATATAATAACATTCCTTAGCCAGTTTACAATTCGAGTGCTGCCATAGAATGTTGATCTTGATCTTCCCATTAATTTAATAATTTCTGAATGCGACAATAAAAAATAGAATTGGTATTGCTACTTCATTATATGTAGAAAATGCTGCAGAAATCTTAACAGTGAAATCCACAATACTATGGGAGCACCCCAACTTCAAATATCAGTGACAGAACGTATTTCCAACAGATAATAGGTAAAAATTTTGAAATTGTCACGATATGAAAATTATATTTGCTAAAGTCAATTCTGCCACTAATCAAAATAACAAGAATCAGATAAGGCACGGTACTATGAACAATTTTCGGAAAAAAATGGGAATGATCTCCTGATGAAGATCTTCATCATATCTTTGACTAGATTCAGCTTACTATGCGACGTTCAAATTTATTTGAGCAAATTTCAAGCAAGTCAAAAGATAGACGATTTCAAATATGTTCAGCGTGCTCTAAATATGATACAAGAAAAACAGTCGTTACATGATTTTGAAAACTATATAATATTTCTTTTAATATTCAATAGTTGGATATTGAACGAATGTAGTAATTTTAATAATGGAAGACCGAGTGTTTTCAATAATAAGAAACAATTGGGTTAGCTACAAAGCCAGAAAAATATTGATTACAAAAAATAGGGGTCTGAAATTTCACACCTCAATTTTTATCCAACAAAAAAATTCAAGCATTCATAGAATTTTTACTGAGTATTCAAACAGTTATAGATTCTATAAAGAGATAACAATGAATCAAAAAACAACAATTAATTAATTAGGTATTCGATGTTAAAATAAAAATCCAACATTAAAAAAAAACTATAAAAAATATATGAATTAAGGCACTTGTTCATTATACACAGCGTGTGAAAAATAACACGCCAAATATCCGACATTCAAATAATTATAATAGAATTACTCTCAGGGATTTTTTGATTATACACCTTAAAGGGGCCTGGTGAAATTTGCAGGAAACATCCCCTTGTCGCCATTTTCTTTCATGCCCATGAGCCATCCCTCTTCCTAAAAAAAAAAAAAATGTCATCTCCATTTTCGTCAGTTTAAAATAACAAAATATCGAAATATTTAGAAAACTGTTTGGAAAACAAAAACTAATTAACCTGTTCCAACTTTTTACAAACCTGTTCTTCTGGATCATCATATTCTATAACAGAAATGATTTCGCCAACATCAAATGACAGTTCATCAACATCTTCTCTCGTGTACTTGTAAGTAGATTTAACTCTATAGAGAACTCCAGGTGGCAGATTCTCGGTGCTTGCACCTGAAATATATTCAGATTTGTGAAACTTATATGGCCAATTTTTGAAATTACATAAGAAGTGTACTAAATATGGCGAAGTTTTCATTGTTCTGAGGATATAATATTGCTTGAGCAAAATTTCTCTAAAATTTCATCAATAAGTCACTTGAAATAATGAGATGCATGCACAATGTAGTGTAAATAGGTGTAAGTTCATCTTTACTGTTTTTGATTTGATGTATTATGACTATGATTTCACTTTCATTACTTATAAATCAATAATCTATCTTGATTTGAACTCAAATAAATCAAACTAGCAAGTATACATTTGCAGTTTGATATACTATGGGCCAACCTGCCTAGAACATGGAATCTGTTTTATAAGGGCTGAATTTTTGGAATTTTTAGTAGAATTCTTCAATTGACAAAGACATTTATAGCATATATAACATTTCACTCCCAATTGTATTATCCAGTTTCCATTTTTAAATGTAGTGATATGTAAGATATGTGAAATGGATTTATATAATTGCTATATCAAAGGAAGATTGCCTTTTATCCTTTTGAATGTAGCCAAAATACATAAACCTCTTAGTACTGTGTGAGAACAGCTGATATTAGCTTGATATGTAGATGATGTATCTGCGATTTTCGACACAAAGAAATCTAAGGAAGGTAGAGGACATCGCCGCAACTCTTGACAAAAGATCCTCGAATTTTAAGTTAACATATGGAATTGAAAACAACGAGGAGTAACCATTCTTGGATGTCTTAGTGAATAGAAGTAATCAGGGTCTGGAATTTCACATTTATAAGAAGAATACCAGTACTTTTTGAAATATATTTCTGATAGCTCACACCATTGTCCACAACACTAAACTGCAGGACTAAACTTTCTGGTACATAGACTTGTTACATTCTTCTCGACTGAAGAAAGTTGGGAATATATGAAATAAGCTGTGAAGACTGTCACAAAAAATATATCGGTCAGGGTGAGCGAGCTATTAAAATTCATTTCAAAGAACACAAAGCATATTTTGAATTCGGAGACCAGAAAAATCTAGTGTCACTTAACACGCCTTGGTGAACGGCCATAGAATAAATGGAAACTGTTTAAAATTGTTGAGATCGATACACAACACTAGATTTTTGGATCTTTTCCAAAGTCCAGAAATAATAAAGTGTGGCATGTGAACTATGAACACAGACAAAGGTCCCATTGTTGACATTTAAATGAATTGCTCTGTCAAATTTATCAGAAAGTTTCACAAGAAAATTCATTGGTTATTTCTACCTGAAATCATCGATGTGTTTCAGAAATTCACGGTGTATCCTGTAAGATATGAATAAAGACCGGTATCAGAGTTAGAATTAGTCTTCATTTCTTGAAGACGACAACTTTAGTGTTGGTAAAACGCGGGTCGAGAAACGTGTTGCAGTTCTGGTGTTTGTGAGAAGTGCTTGTTTTGGACTAATTGACTGACTTCATTTTGTTTTCAGTGGTTTTCGAGATGGTAAAAACTTGTAAGGTGCCTGAATGTTCTCAATTTCCTGCGTGTACCGTACATATAAGAACAACCTCCTCGTTTCCCTTACGTATACTGTAAGTGAAGGAAGTGGATAATCATGGTTGTCTATGAAGTTTGAAGCATGAAATAAGGAGGGCAAAACTCTATATTTTTACATCATTTGAGATTGCTATGATTTATACATGTATTAGGTTATTTCAAAAGTTTTGTCCGTTTCTACAAGTCTAACTCAAAGTATCAGTGCACACAAGTCGATTAGCTTCGTCAGCATGAAAATTGTGTGTCAAGATTCGATGCCTGGTCCTGATTGGCGAAGGTTCTACCAGTGAGAAAGTTATCAAAGTGCTTGAAAACATGGTAGTCGGTTGGCGAGAATGGTGGATGAGACAGAACTTCGAACGCACAATTCGTTTAATTTTTGGACGGTGGTTGCGAAACGTGCGGTCGAGCGTTGTCGTGAAGCATGATCGGACCTCTTCTGTTAATCAATGCCGACTGCTGCTGGTATATTTGTCGATGTCAACACAGAAAGTTATAGTGATACCAGTCGCTGTCCAGGTAACAGCAACCATAGTCTTTTTTTTGGTGGGTTTTCGCCTTTGGGAAGTGCCTGGATGGCTCATCGGTGTTCAATCACTGTCCTGAACGTCTCCTGTTATCGTAGAGGATCTAATTTTCATCACAAGTGACGATCCGATTCAAAAACTGATCATTCTGGTTGCGCAAAAGCAAAGAACAACAGACCTCAAAACCCAACCATTTTTTCGAGCTCTTCGACCTTTCCAATACGTTTCAAACCATCAAAAATCGCATGGGAGATGGGTCTGTTTCCACCAGGGTCTCCTAATTCTCGTCCTGGAATACTACAGGTCGACCATTTCGGGGCTCATCTTCGAGGCTAAAATCTCCGGAACGAAGTTTTGCAAACTGACGTCAAACAGTGCGTTCATTAACACTATCATTACCAAATGCCTAGTTAATTTTTCGGGTTGTTTTGGCAACGCTTTGGTTCAATTTGAATTCATAGAGAATATTGGCTGAAAATCGCTTAACGTCATCATATAGTAACAGGCTAAAAAAAACAGAAATTGAAATTTGGAAAAAAATCAACAGAATTCATGTATAGAGTACAAAATTCTCCATCAATNTTTAATATTTTACTTATCAAAAATGTATATGTATAATCTTGTAAATTTTAATTACTTTTAAGCTCTCTTTGTGACTAGTCCAATAAGTTTCATGTATTTACACTTTTTTTATGTTGTACATGTGAACTTTAGTGATGAATAAACTTCTATTCTATTCTATTCATAAATGGCAAATAAGAGCGGGCCCAAAACAGACCCTTGAGGAACGCCATGCTTAATAGTTTGAAAGTTTGATAAGGTACCGTTGAGCAAAACGATACAGTGGAATAAATGTTTATTGAGATATGGAGCAACAAAAACACAAGACATTAAAACGGAAAAAACTTTTGAATCAACCTAATATTTATACTTCTAGTTATACTTTATTTTATAACTGTTTGTATATGATGGATTGATATTACGAGTATCTGAAATGACTAATTTTTGCAATGAGAGTATACAAAATGTGTGATACCTCGAAGGCATAAATTTTTCCTCAGAATTTGCAGTGTCATTGTGAAAACCTGAAATAAATAATTTTGCTCCAACTCTTCTTCTTTCAACACGAGTAGCAAAACGAACAAGAAATTAACACAAACAAGGTGATTACCATGCCATTAATGAATTTTAGTAAAAATAACTTACCCACAGGGATATCATAGAGTTCCTCGACTTTTTTATTGTCTGCATTGTTAGTAGCTGGCTTGTCAGCGGTAGCTGCTGGCTCTGGGGAGGGGGATTTTTTACCGTCTGGGGTGGTGGTACCATTCAGTTCTGGTTTGGGTGAAGAAGGTAGTGTTATGGGATCGGTGGGCAATTGAACGGCAAGATTCTCATCGGACTTATTAGGAGTAACAGGGGGGGAATAATCTGGTTTCGTTGGAGAGGATTCTTTTTTGATGGGAGATGATGCGGGTTCTTCGGCTGCAAAAACACACGATGTCGTTACAAACAAGGCAAGATCTTTGGTTAAGCGAGTATTAGTGAAGACGAACAGCTCAAGAGGAAAGGTGAGGCTTTTGTTTCATGATATTCGGTTGATGTCAATCCAAAAACTAAACCTTTGCAAAACAATTGCTTCACTAACAGAAATCAAGAAAATTAATATTTCAAAATGAAATACAACATATATTTGATTATATTCAACAGACTTTTGTGAAAGTGAACCTCAACTTATTTTGAAAAAGTATAAAATGGAAAAATGAGTGCAAATAAATATGCTGTCTGTTCAAAAAATAAGGTGAACTTTCAGTTTTCTCAAAAAATATTCATTTGTTCATCAATTTCTATTTTGTCCCCGTCAAAGTAGTCCCCCACAAACATAACACACTTGTGTCAGGCGTTTTTTCCAATTCCCGTGAATAAGGTGGCTAAAGCATGAGTACAGTGTTGTTTTTGGCCAAAAAACTACAATGACGAGTGAGCAGGTCCAAGATAATACTCCTTTATTGACCGTACGACTACGTATCAAGAACTTCTGATGCACTACGCCACGGTAATCGAAGAAAACAATGAGCAAAACCTTGACATTTGATCGAACTTAGCGTGCATTTTTTTGTCTTGGCTCTTTAATTGGGACGATTGGACTTTGGTTTCGATGTCAGAACCATATATCCATGATTCGTCACCAGTTATGACCTTTTTAAGAAAATTTGGATCGCCGTGGGCGTCATTCAATACTTCCTGAAAACATTTCAGATCAGCATTAAGAGAAACTCAAAACATAATAATAATTTTTCTTTTTATATTGTTGCTTGGAGTTGAATTTCCACTGCTTTGGAAACTGCCAATTTAAATTTTGATGTCTGTTTTCCACACAAAAGTTTCTTATTGATCAACCGAATTGTTTCAACTCACTTTGATATTTGAACATTTGAAATTTTCAAAATTCAATTATGTTGATATACATAATTTGAATAGGACTAATTATTCTGACAATGAAGATGTAAGGTATTATTAAATTGATTCTTTTGTTAAAGTGCAGTTTTTGTTTTGATTGATTCATATTTGTAAAAGCATCAAGCTACATAAAACTAAAAACGTTTTTACATCCTCAATATTGAATTCAAATTTCAGATATTTTTAAATCAACCTATCTGCATTATATGCATTATCACTTCAGCTAAGTACTTCAATATTCTTATGCTCTTTGATAAGAATGTTGAAGAAAATAATATCTACCACAGGAAATGGTTCAGATAATATGTATATACTGATTCACCTAAATTCATAGCTTTCACTGCAATGAATATACAGGCTGATTCACGGTGGATGGCACATTAGACGTTTCTGGTGAACCAGACAACGGATCACTTTGAAAATTTAATGGAGGGCATATTCGGACATTCTCTAGCCAACTAAAATATTTTCGACAATGCGGTGTTGCCGCTTCTATTAGAAAGCAGTAGCAACTTTGATTTTTCAAATGGAACACTCTGTATATAATATTATTTTTGGAATCTCCAACAATTGCCCGACAACTTTTCT